CTACCCCCTCCCCCACCCCCCCCCTAAATTGATACATGTAACACTGATGTATTTTTACTATTTTGTTAAGTATTTTCGCCAATAAATTCATACAACACTGACGTGTTTTGTCGAATAATTTCGCTAACATCTTCAATAACACTAACGTGTTTTGTCGAATAATTTCGCTAACATCTTCAATAACACTGATGTGTTTGGCTTTATATTCTTTATTTATCACTGATTTGTTTGGCTTCGTATTCTTTATTTAACACTGCTGTGTTTGGCCTCGTATTCTTTATTTAACACTCTGATGTGTTTTATTACGTATTCTCGCTAATCTCTTTGCTGTCCGATTGCCTTGATGGTTCATCATTGTGGACGCTATTCCTGACACCCGACTGAGTCTCATGGCCATCGTCCTCATATACAGACAGCCCTGATTCTTGTTGTGATAGTGACGAGTTCTTCCTCTGTATCACTGGGGAATGGTCGGTGTTCTGTGCAGTATGAAAACGAACACCGATGTGAGTACCATAAGCGCGCACGATAAGTGTTTAGACAGAACCTTGGTTTGATCGCGTTTTGAGATCCTGGGGCGATTGTCCCGTGGAGCTCCGAATTGTACATATTCGGACCACAGCCCTACTTCTCCGAGACAATTAGTCAACGCTTGATAATATCAAACATCGCGTCAGAGCAAGCACACTGCTGTGAGAGTGAGTGGCAGCTCTATGCGATTGACTGTAGGAATCGATGATGGTACACGCCGATGCCTCCCACACGCCACGTGTTATTCCCGTAGTCTTATGCGTAAAAAGTGCGAGTGTGAAATGGACCTGATTTTGAACCCCTAGTAGTGGGTCACGACTCATAGGTATGTGGGTGCAAATTGATGACTCATAGGTATGTGGGTGCAATTTGATGACTTGTGAATGCGTGGAATGCAATCACGTGTGAATGTACACGGATCCCGCAACATAACAGATGTCCATACAACTCAACAACACAGTGGAGAAACGCTTGCACAGCCATGAATACGTGACACAGTGAAGAAACGCTTGCACGTCCATGAATACGTGACACAGTGGAGAAACGCTTGCACATCCATGAATACGTGACACAGTGGAGAAACGCTTGCAAATTCATGAATACGTGACACAGTGGAGAAACGCTTGCACATCCATGAATATGTGACACAGTGGAGAAACGCTTGCACATTTATGAATACGTGACACAGTGGAGAAACGCTTGCACATCCATGAATACGTGACACAGTGGAGAAACGCTTGCACATCCATGAATATGTGACACAGTGGAGAAACGCTTGCACATTTATGAATACGTGACACAGTGGAGAAACGCTTGCACATCCATGAATACGTGACACAGTGGAGAAACGCTTGCACATCCATGAATACGTGACACAGTGGAGAAACGCTCGCTCATCCATGAATACGCGGGTATGTAACTGATTCCACACATACACATGCGCACATGTATGCGACATTTCACGTCAACAACCCATTTGCAGTACCACACATCTATGTCATATCAAGTAATACCACAAACAAGCATTTAAAACGAACACTATGTCATATCATATAATACACACACAAGTATTTAAAACAACCAATACCTGCAATTGCAGCGACGCCTGTGACAGCATGGATGCCTGCCGCATCATCTTGCGCTTGAGGATATCGATCTCGTCCTCCTTCTCATTGAGCAGCTCACTCATCTGCATGGTCATCGTCTTACGTGCTGCCACCTGCACATGCATTTCCTCGTCCTGTTCGTCAAACTTCACTTTCCAGCGCTCCTGTGGGGGTGACAGCAGAGATCAAGGAGAGTTATGAGAGGTAGTTTAACTGAAATTAGTTTGATTGAGAGTTAGTTTTACTGAAATTAGTTTGATTGAAAGTTAGTTTAATTGAAATTAGTTTGATTGAGAGCTAGTTTAATTGAAATTACTTTGATTGAGAGTTGGTTTAATTGAAATTAGTTTGATTGAGAGTTGGTTTAATTGAAATTACTTTGATTGAGAGTTAGTTTAATTGAAATTACTTTGATTGAAAGTTAGTTTAATTGAAATTTGTTTGATTGAGAGTTAGTTTAATTGAAATTACTTTGATTGAGAGTTGGTTTAATTGAAATTTGTTTGATTGAGAGTTGGTTTAATTGAAA